GAGTCACGGGTTTGTTCGGGTTTCAGGCTCGGCAGAGTCGATGTCGAAGATTCCATTGCCAACAATTTGGATAATGGCACATATCTCTCTCTTGGTTCAGCTTTCCAGGCATGGTTAGAGGTGTCACACTCGGGGATTAAACCGCCACCGCCTTGAACAAAACTGCAGGGCTGAAGTTGCTGTCGACCCGTTTGCAAGGAGCGTCTGAGTTCCAGTGCAGCTCGGGACCACAGCTGGCTACAGATGGACACCTTTTCTGATGCCTCGCCGATGTCCCAGCCATGGACACGACATGTTTGCGTTAGTGACAAGCAGCGGGAGCTTCACTGCAGCTCAGGCAACCCGCGCACGTGGAGCTCACATTTCACCGGGCAGGGGAGGTGCAACAAGTGAGCCGCTGAGACTCGCTGTGGACGGGGCTCCTGACGAGAGGGGGGTAGCTCGAGCTCGGATAGGGATGAGAGGCGATGCGAAGCCGGAAACCCGGGTGGATGGCGGAAGAGAAACCACCGTCCATTTAGCCTGGCTTGTGGGCCGCGACCAGAGTTTCCTTCCTCCTCCCTCTCCCCTCCCTTGGGGAGGCTGCAAAATGGACGCAGGCTTGAACATCAAGTTTTGGGGCTGTCCGACAATGGATGTCCAATGGACGTCTATTTTCGGACCCCAACATCATTTTACATCCATTTTCCCAGGTAATATCGATGTAAAATGGATGTTCCTCTACTTTCGGACCCCCCAGCCCAACATCCATTTTGCATGCATTTTTGTAGGGAAATGGATGTAACATGGATGTTCCGGAGTGGATGTTGATTTCCGGCCCCTTGGGAGAATGGATGTAAAATGGATGTGGCTTTCAGACCTCCCCAGAAAATGGACGCCCAACTGGATGTGGCTTTCGTACCTCCCAATGCCAACATGAGCTGCTTTTTTTGGGTTTGGGACGATGTATGCCTGCTTATTGCCTGGCGTTGCAGGGCCGTTCATGCGAAACCCCACAGTTTGCAACGACCGACATGCAAAGCAGAAAAGGGAACGCCGTGTCCACATTCAGCTTGCACCCCATTAAAAAGTTCAGAGTGTTTCTGGATGTTGTTTAGGGCTCATTTCCAACATCCATTTCCATACTCCCAACATCCATTTCCCTCATCTGGGTTCTCCCGTGGATGTGCCTCACAGGCTCAGACAAGCCAATGAAACGGCAGCCCACACTTCGCCAAGGACGTCCAAGCGGCAGTTTCTCGCAAGGAACACGAAGTCGTGGTTCGACGTCCTTGAAGTCTGTCTAAGTCTAAGTTGTGCTGGCATGAACGGATGCCGTGGTCGGCAAGTTCGATGGTATTCTGGTCGTGTAGCCTGTGAAAGTACTCTGATTCTCTGGCTTCTCCGGCGGGCCTTTGGCTGATCAGCTCCTGACGGTACTGTCATGTGCCGGTGGTTTCGATCATGGACATTTTTTGCTGAGGACAGACAAAATGGTAGTATTGCTAGAACGCTTTCGCGGTCTTTCGTTTGTCAGGTTTCCCGGTCCCGCTGTGAAATGCTTTCACCTCTCTGTTTTAAAGCATCTCTCGAGCTTGTTTGTAGAGGGGTGCACTCGCGATGTCGAGCTTGACCCGCCGAGCACTGCAAGGGATGTCCGCTCACCACCGAAAGGGATGTGTATGTGCCAGGAAGCTCGACCCCGGAAACCATGAAAAACCATGTACATTCTAATGCTCTGCGCAGCTGCAAACTCTGGTGGTGCTCTGATCTTCGTGTTTCGGGCCTTGCGAGGGCATACATGTTGGCAGATGTAGGCAGTCATGGAAGCCTGATTGCATCTGACCACAAATCAGAGATGAGATCAGTCTGAGGCTCTCGCCGAAACGAAACCGGCGTGAACTGCACTGTGGTCGCGCTGCGAAGAAGATTGAAAGATGCTGGCATGTCACGCATGTCCCGTCAAGAAGCTTGAGGGCCTGAAGTCTTGGTTTCTTGTTGTGAAGCATGGACATTTTCTAGCATCTCCGACTTGGCAATGCTCGTCGGCAAGAAGCCCTTTCCTTTCTTACCGGCTTGCATTCTGGCTCCAGCCAATCTGCACCATGTAAGAGGTGCAGCCTGCAGTCTGCAGGCCACCTGCTCAGCAGCTCTGCAAGCCTCAGCAAGCGTCTGCAAGCGTCTGCAAGCGTCTGGAAGCCTCTGGAAGCCTCTGCAAGCATTGTTGGCTAGGCACGCGGATCATGAGCGCTGCCAAATACGATGCAGCGATAGAGTGGGCAGCTGCCTCAGAGCGCATGACAGGGTCTTTGGACTCGCTTTTGACATAGCTCGTCCGCGAGGCGCCACCAGCATGGTTCGAGTTGGATGAAGGCCCCATGCAGCTGACATGAGAAATCACTGGCCAATGGCCCCATGTCTTACCCTTGAAATTTCCGAACCGTGCCGTAAGCACCAGTTCGCAACACGATGCTTTCCCTCTGACCCCAATGCTCTTAAGGACATGCCCGTAGAAGTGTGATACATCGACATTACATGGGGCAGTTTCTGCATCAGAGTTTAGGGTTGCAGGCAGAAGGCTGTGCCCCGCCCTGCCGTCATGGGTTCGATTCTTTAGATTTGCTTTGCATTCATTTGCTCAGAAGTACGCCGACCAGCACCTGCAGTGAGACAGCCTGTGATAGCTCGCGCCGATCTCCTGGATTTGCCATGGGCAGGTACCTCCAGGCGTGCACGATGCACCTCCTCGGAGCCCCCCTTAAAGGCCGCAGCTCCAGGAAGCTGGCTTTGCCTAGACTCTAGACTGCTGCAGCGTGCTGCAGTGCGGTGCAGTGCAGCATGCCGCGGAGGTTCCCAGCCTTTTGCCGAGCTCTGCATCTCTGAAGTCGCCCACGCGGCAATGGAGCAGCGAAGTCTGGAGCTTGATTCAACGCGAGCAGTGGATGTACGCTCTTACGGCCTTCGCCTTCACCCGTCGAGGCTGGAAAGCGGAGCTCCAGGAGCAATCCGCTCCTGTTTCCTTTGAGCAATCCGCTTCCAAGCTGGTCTTGCATGCAAGAACAAATGAAGACCCGCTCTGGCCCAGTGTCACCCGAGACGGGTGCTGACGGCAGAGAGTCGCAGAAGTCGCTGACCTGCGATGGTTCCGATAGTCTCCTGGCAAGATTGCAGCAGGCGTGGTTGGGGTTTCCTCTTGCAACGTGTTGTTGCCCGCATGGCTTGGTCTGCTGGGGAGAGTCGTTTTCGCCCGAAGGCAGAGCAGAGTCTTGCCGAGAAGGATCAGCGAATTGAAGCGCTCGAGGCCGTTTCGGAGCAGAGTCGCAGAGTTGGAAGCTGTTCAAAGACTCGGTCGGTAAGGCATGCACCAAGCAACTAGCAGAGCGACTAGCCTTGGCCGAGGGACTGGCCAAACCCAAGGCCGGCAAGTCTGTTGATGTGAAGCTTTGTCCATTGTATCCGCAGTTGAGGATTGCAAAGATCCCAGCACCCCAACCTCCACCAGGCACGACAATCTCTTCAGTACTTTGGTGCCGTCTGGGGCGGAGTCCTTTGGTGAAGGTCCACCTCTGATTCCACGGCCTGGTCTGGAGATCAGCCGGTTTTGCCGAGGTGCAAAGCATGAGAAATCCCATCCTTCTGGGCTCTTTCCTGCATCTTTTCTGAGCGCAGGAACTTCACCATGGAGAGCCTGGAAAGCGACGAGAGCTTTGCAACCTATGCCTTATCCTGAGCTTGTGAGAGATCCACTACTCAGCTTGCCCCTGCAAACTTAAGCAGGCACCTCAGACATCTGTGGCAGCAAAGTCACCGAGAAAGCCATCAAAGCCCAGCTATGTGAGAGGCACCAAGGCAGGACTGCTCTGCATCGCCCCGTTGCCCTGCGTTGCTCTGGCTCTGTCTCTGTGTCGGCATCTTTGCGGTTCGGCTGTGAACAGGTGTCTGACGAGTATGCAACGCAGGCAGACGTGGATGCAGTGTGCCGCAGGCCAGACCTCTTCCACACCACGTAGTTGACGGACATGTTGCAACCTCCTTCAACTGCAGGTGCGAGCAGCTTCTCAAATCAGTCACATCAGCCGTCGAAAGTAATGAGCGTTTGGCGAGCAAGCGCAAGCAGCAGAAAAGCTCCGCGCCAACGCTGCGGCGTTTGAAAGGCAGTAAACAAAGTACTGCCTCTTGGTAATCTTGTACTTTAGATGACTGTGCAGAATACAGAATACCTCGTCTGGCTCTGAATTTTGGCCGTGATGTCGTTCCCTTTTCAGACAGCAGGTCTTCAACATAGGCACCTGCAGCAGTTTTCAAAAAGCAGTCAGAGCCTGTAGCGCGACTTGTGCTAATGCAATCAATAGCTTGACTGTCCGCACTCCCTTGAAGGGTGTGGGCTGCAGTCGGCGTTTGCCACCTTGCCGTGCCTAGGTGTTGGCTTAGGCTGGCAGCCAGGAGGGCTTTCTACGAACTTTCGCTGAGTGGGTTGTAGTTCCTCAGTAGCATTCGTTGATGTTGACAGCGAAGAAGAAAGCCCGTCTGCTGCATTTTCCCAACTAGTGCTGTGGACGGTGAACAACATTCACTGTCACAGATGGATTTCGATCGTGTGCTCTGTAGGGGGCACCTGTAGGATGATTCGACGCATGGCAATTCGCTATGACCCTCACTCACATCCGTCTTGGCCCTGGCAGTGTCTACAGAGACTTGCTGGGCTAAGTGAGCGGCACTAAACGGGGGACTCCTTCTCGGACCGCTTTGCCTGTACTGGAGTACCACAATACTAGATCCCTAGGAAAAGTGAAACACAGAGCAGTGGTCCGGTCCAAGATGATCTGAGCCCTCTTGCCATGCACATGTGGCTTGTCAATGAGAGTAGACCGTGCGAGCCACACAATCGCTTTGGTGTTGATTGATAACTTCCGTCTTGCAACATCAACGCCTGGAAAAATGTGTCCGAGCTGCAGTCGTGCCAACAACACATGCTCCTATGGTGGTCATTGCTTTTTTTCCCTGAGTGCTTGCTCTGGGAGGCACAGCTTGCCAGTGATTTTCTGCCTGTGGTCGCTCTCGTTGGCAGTCCTGTTGGGCTGGTGTCTGGTGGGGATCCTGGGTTTGCTGCCACTGCTCATAGAAAAACCTTTCTGTATGCAGGTCGGTCCACGGCCCTGTGCAACTCGCTGGTAGATCGTCTGAGTCAGGCACGACATAGGGCAGGGGCTTGGCCGACTGGATTGGATTTGTTTGGTGTGCCATTCAATGCTTTGGAGGAGCTGGGATATGCTGTCCTCAGATCCTCGGAGGCATTCGGGGACACTCCTTCCAGACGGCGGCAAAGGGTTGAACATGGTTGAACACGCTGAACCAGGTCGTCGGCGAATGCATTGCGCTCTCCGAGAAGCCCCCCCAGGTCCTCCGAGGGACGGTTTTTTTTCTGCGTGTCCGCAATTTTGGGGTTGCCATGCATGCTCTGGAAGGAGCCTGATTGGCCTATTCTGGCACGGATGCGAGAACTCGGCAAAGAGGCATCGCAGGGGCCGCGGGTGGCTCAGTATATGAAGCGATGCAGCTTTGCGATGCCTTGCACATGCAAGAGCGACACAGTAATGCGGAATGGTCCAGGCGCGGCGTGTCTCCAGGGGTTCAAGCCGAGATGCTCTTCCGCAAGATTGAGGCCTGCTTGAAAGCACTGTGCACCCCCGCTTTGGCGAAAGCAGCAACATCCCATGTTCGTGGAGCTTTTTCTCCTGTCTTCTCGCACCAGTTGCTCTCGGCTCCGGCACCGAAACCGGCTGGGGCCTCTGACTGCGGAGAGGATGGGAAGGGTGTGCTCTGCACGGCTGGAGGGTAAAACCGAAGCTCAGGTGGAGGAGGAAGACCCGAAGAAGCCGCACGTCTGCCACGTCTGCTCGTACCCTGCGTTGCCTTGAACCAGTCGAAGCCCAGGAAGCCAAAGGGGAAGGATAAGAAGGAGGAGGTGCCGGAACCTGTCAGGCGATCGCCTAAGCCAGAAAAGATGGCGACGTGAGAGCCTTTCACTTTTTGCAGGCCAAAGGGCATCCTGGTGCTGGGATACCCAGCAGAGCTGAGGCAGCTTGCAAGCTGGGAGGCGCAAGGGCAGCGCTTTAAGGGCAAGTGATGGCATGTGCGTGGCATCGCGCATCGCATTTGAGCATTCGGACGTTCGGAGGCGGCCCTGCGTGGCTTCACCTCCTCCCTGCTGCAGCTCATGGATTCCGAGGAGAGCCAGCAGGCGCCACCCCGTTGGTCCCGTGGTCACCCGTTGGCTCTAATGCCTTTGTCCTGCTCTGTTCGGAGGCCCGGCTGGGCTCTCTGCTCGCTCCCTTCTGGGTGGAGGGCGAGTCTGCCACGCCGGTGGTCAAGGCCGAGGCCAGGCGAGCCGAGTTGCTCAAAGCCTGCAGAGCTAGCCAGCATTGTACGCTTCAACTCCATGGGGCTGCCAGCACGGCCTGGGGCCTCATGATCCGGTGCAGTGAATTAACCGACAGGAGGGTGTGGCTGCAGCACTTGAGGGTCCATGTCAGAACACAGGGAGACATGCCAAACCAAAAGAAGATCAAGAAGAGCAGCGAGTGGATTAGATGATGCTACCGTTTTGCATGGGCCGTGTGAGGAGCGTGAGTTGGCAAAGGCTGCAGAGAAGGCCACAATTGTCGTTAGCTTTCTGCTGCTACACTGGATTGGCAGTTTGTGAGCTGTTTCAGGCAGACTTTGATCCTGAATTTGCTCCGCCTGTGCTCGCCTTTGCTGAGACCTCGTGGCTGTTGCAGGATCGGATAGACTGTCGCTTAGGTGCGCATCATCCGACTGCGCTATCCCGATGAGGCTGCCGCTGAAGTGTGCACTGCGCGACATGCTTCGGAACGGACCCGGCTGTGTCATGTGTGGCCTCGTTGGGAAGTCCTCCAAGGCCTGTAATCGATCTCCTTGTCAAGTGCCAACGGCTAAACATGTTGGCATTGGCGTCACCATGATGCTAGAGACCAGGGTATACTGAGTATACAGTATGCAGTATACTTCGCCCAACGGGGAGAGGATGTCGAGCCTTCCAACTCCACAGTCCGGCACTTCGCCTCTGTAGCTCATGGCTTGGAGGCAACGTTGTTGGAGGCCGTCCAGAAGGAGGCTCGGGGAGAGCCAGTGAATCTAGCTCGAGCACACAATCTGTGGGGCTGGGTTTGACGATCGTCTTCGGAACTTCAACTGCCGTGTTGGATTTCGGCGCATTTGACCTTGGATTCATGCTGCGTGGCGGCGACATGCAACCAGGACATGTCCGCAGAAGGGCGCGGGAATGAAGGCGAGTCACGATTGTGCCATGGACTGGAGGAGGTCGTCCGCTTGTGCAGTCGAGACGGCGATCTCTTGCGACAATTTGTCACATGTTTTCTGAAAGGAGATGGCGGCGATGCAATGCGCTGCAGACCAAGCCTGGTTGTTCGAGAGTGCGCAGGTGGTGACGGAAGTGACAGGTTAGATCGCCCTTCTTTTTGTGACTTCTCTTCTTGGATGGTAGGTCTTTGCGACAAAGCTCTCTGCTCCGCTCCACAATGTTCACGACGTGCTCGTGCAGGAAAACCAAGTTTCGGGCTCTACACCTTCATGCTGTACCTCACCGTTACAATCAGCGAGACGTGATGCTTCCACCAGGACGGTGAAGAAGGCGACGACATCATCCCGGCACCAGAGGCAATCGGCTTTTGACTCTCGCTGCCTGCATCCCGCTGCGAGAGTGCTTGCCGCTTGCCGATGACCCCCCATAGCGTGGGATTGTCTAGGCAATCCTGAAGCGCATCCGGGAGCTCGTCGCATTCTGGCACAGGCACCTCTCACACTCTCATCAGTTCCCGAAGGGCCTGTCTTTTCCTTGCCTTTCGGCCAGGCCGATACTGGAAGTTGAAGCTGCAGATGCAGATGCAAAGCCCGATGAAGCCGTCGAAGCCCCCGAGGTCGGGGCGTGACTGTTCTGCTCTCTGGTGATCCTAAGTCTGGGTCGAGGCCGAGGCTGTGGTGGAAGCGGACGCGGCGCCTCCAGAGGGAGCTGAAGGGGATGAGCCGGTTGAGCCAGCGGCTCCGGAGGACGGTGCCGGCGACAAAGAGGCACCATGTCGCATCTGACTTCAACAGTCTTCAGATGTGGGCTACTGATGCATGTCAGCAGAACCGTCAGCACACACACACACAGATACATGCTCCAGTGTCACATTTTCCTCGGATGATCCTGCCGCGAGTTGCCGCTTGTGAGCATGCTCGGATTGGCAGGGCTTGCTGCTTGCTGTCCGCTCTTGCAATGCACTCCTCAACAGCTCGCGTCGAGGACGTAATTATTCTTGCATAAGCAGGGTGTGCATCGAACAGTCCTGCAGTGCGCATCTAGCTACCGGTGTGCTGCAACCAACGTTGGATGTTCCTTGGTCCTCTCCAGCTTTGGAGAGCAGTTGTTCAATTGTGCTCGGCTCAGAAAGATCCCGCATCAGAGCCAACTCTTTCCGAGTTTTCGGATTTACTGATTTGCTCGCTGATTCCACTTGTTTTGCCTTACATGTTTGTCCTTGAACCAGAAGCCAAGAACCTTGGGCAGCTTAGTCGAAGCAGATCTGGCCCAGCGGTGGGCAGAGATGCAGCTGGCAATTTCGAAAGCAATTTTGGGCACCGTCGTGATCGGAGTCACGTTTATGTCAACGTTCGACTGCGATGACAACCAACCGATACCAACCGTGTTCCATGGTTCCATGCACATCTTGTGGCCAGACATCATATGTGTGCTCTGCTGAGAAGCCACCAGCCAAAAACCTGCTCCACGCATCGCAAGCGACTGGGAGGAATAACTGGCACCACATCGTCATGTAGCATGTCAACGACCCCTTCAAGAGATCTACACATGCTACGACGACCCCAACATCGACAACCCTCAGACAATCGTCACTTCGAGAGCGGCTAACGACCGGACCAGAGCCGGATGCTGTAACGCTTTGTGCGATGTCGGACGATGGCTGACGAGCTTAGTCTTAGGCACCTGAGTGCACTCGGTGCCTGTTCACCGCAGATCTCACCAGTTCTACATCCGGCAACAGCTCGATCGAGCGCGACAGTTCGGGACAGAGTCGGAACAGCAACATCCTTCGAGTGTTCGAGCTCCAGCTGTGTTGCCTGGGTGCACTACCATAGAGCCCAACCCGCCAACCCCACTTGGAATTCGTCCGGCTGCTCCGATTTCAGCACTGCTACGGTACTATTTCGGTCGACATGTCAGTTCTGCATTACCTGCTGCCCTTTCAAGTCATGTTCTGCGAATCTTCCATTGGGTGGTGAGCAGGCTGGGCAGCCGACCGAGGGCAAAGATGAAGCAGAGGACTTGGAGCAGGAGGCGTGCCTGCCCTCCCTTCACACAGGCCCTGTCGGAAGCTCACACACATCGGAGCAGGCAGTCAACACGCTTCTCATCAAGGACAGTCGTCAAACCAAGGAGGCCCCTGTTGAAACTACCCGTGCCCGCTCAACTGTCCTGTGTGCAGTTGGGAGACAGGTTGTTTCTGCTAGTCGCAGCGTAGTGCGTCCCGTGGCTGTGAGGCGTTCCAGAACCTCTGGCTGCAGAACATGAGTCACTACCTGTTTTGCACTGAGACTGATCGCCAGGTATCCGGAGGGGCATGCTAACGATTGCTAGCGCATGGTCGATGTGGCCAGCGCTGTCAACTAAGGCTGGGGATCCGCGAAACTCTTCTGGAGGTGTCGGAAGGGAGGGTGGTGGAACAGCTGGAATGCTTTCCATAGTAATGGCACTCTGCGCATACCAAAGGCACATTGCTTCGAGGATTACAGCTTTGGTAATAGCTGCGTTTTTGGGCGCATGTCATGCCGTGCACGGTACTTTGTATACCGTCTCTTCCATAGAGTGTCGAAAATTGATCAACGCAGCCAGGCCAGCGCAGCAACAAGAGCAAAATGGTGAGCAGCGGATCTAGCTTTAAATCGCATGACAGCAGCCACGTGCGGCTGTTTGTGAACCAGCACAAATGAAGAAAGATCGCAACAGACAGCAGCAGAGCACAGTTGACGACAAGTTATGTTTACAACAATAGCAGGGATTGCAAGACCACTTCCGATACCAACTTGGTTTGGCACTTGCAACGGAGCGAGGAACGTGCAAGGACGGCGAAACAGCAAATGCGGAGCATATGACGGATGCAGGTGGAAGTGTAGAACACTTCTATACCCTTCTTGACAGTGCAGCCACCTGGTAAGAGAAGAGTCGAAAGAGGCGCACCAGGCGTGGACTTCGTCCAAACCACACGTTGCCAGCCAGGATTTGGGAAGAGAAGCAAACAGCTGCACAGCAGCGCCGGGAAACGCAACAAGCCCATCGCATGTGTAGATGAGAAAAGCTATGTTTCTCCGACGACTGTGGCGGCGCTGCTGCTACCACGGGTTCTATTCCTTGAGCCGCTCTGATTGGCACTGCTGCTGCTGCTGCTGCTGCTTCTGCTGCAAGTATACAGCTTCTTTCTCCTCGACGAGGACTAATGTGCCTAGTGCTGCTACTACCGCTTACTGCCGCCACTGCTCCTACAACGTGCCTGCCACTGCTGCCGTTGTTGCTGTTGCTGCTGCTGTAGCAGCAGCTGCTGCTGCTCCTCTCGCGACTCTGGCGGCGGCTGCTGCTGCTGCTGCTGCTGCTGCTGTTTTCGCCGCTGCTGATGATTATGATGGTGACAATAGGATGATGATGATGATGATGACGATGATGATGATGATGATGACAGGATAATGATGATGATGATGATGATGACAATGATTATGATGATGAGAGGATACTGATGATGATGATGATGGTGGCGATAGTGATGGTGATGATAATGATGGTGATGATGATGTTGATGATGATGATGATCATGACGATGAGGAGAACTGTGTTACTGTTGCGCAGCAGGTGGATGAGCACGCAAGCAGCTATTGCAAGGACCTTATCTTCATGCAGCGGAGGCCCGTCCAGTTGAATGAAATTTCCGCCAGCGTGAGAGCCGCCTCGGGGACGGTCGTGGGGTCAAAATGAGGGGCGGGCCGACAGAGAGGAGAAGAGGGTGGGGGGAAGGAAGGGCGGCCCCCCAGGAAAAAAGGGCGTGGGGGGAAGCGGTGCTGCAACCGACCGCACCTGTGGGACCCAAGGCGACGGAGGTTCAAATTTTACAGGACCTTTGACAGGACTCCCCAACCTTGAACCAGAAAGGTCAAAATCATAAACAAAGGGGAGGGTAACACTAGTGTTATATGGTCACCAGGCGGACAGTCCTTGAGGAGGCAAGTTGGTTGGGGCTTCGCTTTGTACAATCTCGAGATCTGGAACACTCCAGCTCCGATTCTGGCACGCTCTCCTCCACCTGTCAGCTACATACAGGATGTGTGCCAATGACATGGAGCGCAGATATGCCACAACAAGAACAGGCCTCCGAATGGTGCACAAGCTGACAGGTTCCTTGAATTCCTACAGCAGCCTGATGACAAGGCCCAGGTACGCTGCATGGATTCTTGCAGTTGAAGATTCTGGGCCGTGAACCAGCTGCCGAGGTCCTGGAAGAGTTTCTTCGAGGCTTCCCTGTCAGGACACTCTCAGCGTCTCTTGCTGTCCGCTGGGAGTGGAACTCGCGACGTGATGGGCAGTGGTGGATCTCCAGATATCTCTCGAGGAACAACGTACCGCCCGGGTCGCGACAAGCAGATGAGCTCAGCGAGCAGCTGCAGGAGGGTGCAGACTCAAGATTGTCAAGATGAGGTGTAGCGATGGGTTGATGCATTTCACATGCAGGACCTTGCAGACAGGCTGTGGGTACATGCGAACTTGCGCAAGCAGGAGGCTGTGGAGGTCCGCACATGTTGCAAGATCAGAAGTGGCCCAAGCTTTGCAAGTGTTCCGCCCCTCCCCGGGCGAGGAGCGATACCGTCAGATGACGCTACCCTGACCTGTATTCCGGCTACTGTAATTTGATACCTGTTTCGCCTGTGGCGCGGCTTGTTGAGAGTCTCTTTGAGCGGGCCAGGGGCGGTTTCTGGGAAGAGAAAGCTGCAGCGCAACTCAGATTGGCGCACAAGCTCCAGGCTTATCGCAAGAGTTTGGAGACTTCAAACGAGTGGCGCAGATTTGGATCGTGGTGGTTTGAGGCTATATACAAGGCTTCAGATTTGACACTGCTGTCTCGATTCACGATGTGCTTGGCCCCGCGTTCAAGCAACCGGCCGTGGCTGCTGTCAAATCGACAGTGCACCTGCAGCCAAGTGGTTGAGCCATGTTTGTACAGCTCTGGCACACGCACTGCGCCGCACTCCGATTTCGGTATGTTGGGAGACAGTTGTCCACAAGGCAATGTGTTGGAGTGTTCGATGCGAAGACCCACATCATCGGGACTGCAGCTGCTAGGGGTGCCTGGCACCGCACTGGATCAGCTGGAGCTAGCCTACATGGGTAAAATTAGCCATGGCGACGGCGAAGCCTCTTCGCGGTCGTGCAGCAGCCGAAGCTGCCGCGGCTGCCAAGGCTTGTGGACTTTGGCGTGCCAACAGGACGTGTTAGTGTACTTCTCTCGCTGAGCTCGGAGCTGCATGTGGTTTTCTTGCTTCAGGCACGAGAGATCGCTGAGGCGGCCTTGGCACAGCGAGATGCCCGACAAGGTGCTGCCCAGCAAGGAGCTGCCCAGCAAGGCCCGGCAGCCGTGCACAGCGGAGAAGTTTAGGCCAAAGTGTCGTGGCTGTCAGGTGCCGAGATGGCCGAGAGGGCCGAGAGCATGACTGCGCTTCAAGGGTCCGCGGCGGCCATCAGCCTGCACTTGGAGGATGCTGCGCAGCTGCGAGGAGGAAGCCTCTTTTAGTCCTGACATCCTCCCCAGATCTTGACAGCGACACGACAGGACCAGTGCCAATGGTGCCCTGGTATTCTGGCAGAAGCGGGGATGCCCCTGTGCTGGCCAAGGTCACGATGCAGACAGTGGTGTTACACTTTTACCAAGCTCATCTTGAGCTGGCGCACGGTCCAGGTAGACAACGAGAAAGTCAGAAAAATGCGGGAGGAGTTCGAAGGAGCCACGGCTGAGTGACCCGCATCCCTTGCAGCGGAGAGTCAGATCCTCGAGCCCAAAGACATCAGCACCGACCAAACCCTCTGCTGCCTCTGAGCGCAGGTACAAAGTGCTCTCCCAAGTGGCCCTCGGTGGCTTGAGCTCAGGGGAGGCTCTCTGACGCTTTCTTGGCCAATTCTTCCACCGCAAGTTCTGTTCAGGGAAAGTCGCTGCAACAGCGCTTCAAAGAACTCGAGCAAGCCTGGGGTCGCTGGCCGAACTTTTGCTTCACAGTTGCCGTGCGTCCGAGAGCGTTGCTGAGCTTGAACCATCGAGGTGCTTTCCAATGGAATCAAAAAACCAGAAGCGATGCACCTTCCACCAGGGAGCAGGAGGGGATTACATGTCTCTGCTATCTTGTTTGCAAGCACGGCGTGCGCTTGAGTTCCACTCTTCACCTGGCTGCATCCACCGAGCTGGTAGTGTGCGCTCTGGATTGCAGGTGCAAGCAGCCTCAGCAGCGCTGGCTCAGGCGCATGGACGCCGGCATCCCGGAAAAGGAGATCTTGCCATCATTTGCCATCGTCTCCTCCTCGTTTTGCACAGTTGGTTCTGAGGTTCCAGGGGTACCGAAACCGGATTGGATCTGGAGTGGGATTCCCAGCTTCTCTGGGGACGTGTTTTGTTTTGCAATCATGTCTACTTTCAGCTGCTTCTCTGTCTCGGCGTCTCTATGTGCTGAAAGGCAAGAAGTGGAAACGGTTCTTGCAGAGCTCTGGGACACTATAGAGCAGGGTCCTCAGCCAAGTACATTCAGAAGGGCTGATTTCCTGTATCGAGTAAACGACGACTTTCAGGAAGCCGCCGAAGCAGAGGGATCAGGCACCTCCATCTGCCTCCCAAGCAAATCGGGTCCTCTCAGACCATTCGAAAAAGGGCTGTTGCGCTTCATCGCCATGTGTGAGGCAGAGGAGGAGGTCAACCCAATCGCTGAAGAGTTGGACAGGTTCGGACCGTAGTAGTGCTGAGTTTTTCCCAGCTGCCGCCATCGAAAGGTTAGAAGCCTTCATTGAGGCTAGAATACAACAGGACGACGGAGTCCGATGTAGCCCGGAAGCGTAGCAGGGTTAGAGGTGGCCGTTTGCCGAGGAGGAGCGTGCGGAGCAAGAAGGCCGCCGCGAGAAGAGCCGACCGAATATGGAGATCTGTGAAGCGCAGACGGAGGCGGAACATGCCTCCCAACACTCTTGTTACCTCCGTCCCCGCACCTCCTGCAGGCCTTGCAAGACATGTCGGCCAAAGGCTCAGCGTATCTGATGATGGCAGGCACTGCTCAGTCCTTCTGCTTGTTGTGGGTGCCAGGTGATCCGCTTTGCCCCGACGCCTAAACAGTGTCGTACAGCCAGTGGCTCCGTACGTGTTCATGATGCACACGAAGAAAAACAACAACATGCATATTATGTGCCGCCGAGAACCTGCAGAGGGAAATCCCAAATCTTGTTCGGAAGTGGGGTCCGTGCATACGTGCCACGTTTTGGCAGCTTTCGGTGTGGGCAGACGACAGGTCCGACGGTACCTTACGATTACTCTTACCGCCACATTGGCTATTATCGCAAATCTTATCTACACCCATATCTACGAAAACAGACAGCACCGTCGGAATCATAAGAACTGCCAGGTTGAATGCACACCGATGTGTGGAGCCATGTGTTTGGAAACTGACTGAAGTTATCGACTAGAAAGAGATCTGACTAGAGAGCATCCATCACATCCATCGTGTCTCGTTCTCATCGCTCGGTCGCTGAGGTCAAGTTCCAATCAGCGTACCCAAGTGGCATGGATGAGGGCACAGGCCAAGGGCAAGCATGACCACGGCACATTATCAGCCTTTGTAGGGATCGGCAATCTTGTGTGATTCCATGCTCCCATTTGCACATTGAAAAGGTGATGAGTCTCATTCCCAAGTCAAATTCACAGTCAGCTCTGTCAGGAGGCACGCCCATGACTTCCAATGCTCTGCCAGAAGAGTCGCCGCGATCCCAGCGTGCAGACAGGAGGAAATTTAATTGAATTCGCTCGCGCGAAAGCCGCCTCGGAGCAAAAGCCCCGAGCTCCGCCATGTGTGTCCGCTACAAGCTGCTTGTCCGCTTGTTTCGCTGTTTCCGTTGTGTTGCCTCTTGGCTTCCCAGAGGAAGGGACACCAGGCTGGGAGGAGGCCCCGCACAAGAAAGGAAGGGTCAGGGGAGGGGGAGGCCCGGAGAACGCATGTGCGGGACCCGTGGGCGAACCCGTGCCGGACCCTCAAAAAGTGATCCAAAAATCGACAACAAAGACCCGGCCTCGGGCCTCGGCGGATCAGTGTCTTTGTATCGGTGATTCATCGTAGCGGCACGAAGAGTTCAGAGAATGGTGGCGCAACATAAGGCCAGTGCTGCCAGCAGCAGTGCACTTCGGCTCGGAGGCTGCATCTGTTTTGCGAAGCTTTGTGCTCGAAGTTTGCGTGCGAATTCTGAGTGCTTCTTTGAAGGTTCGCACGCTTGCCAGGGAGGTTCAGTCGGTCTCGGCTAAGCTTCACCAGGTCCCACTCCTCTGCAATCCTCTGCAGCACTTCGCAGCTTGCGCGCGCTCGCGCACGTGTTCCGCTGGCAGGACCATGCGAGAGGCGGACCGCCGAGAGGTCACGTCAGCTCGAACTGGATCGGAGATCTCGCTGGGGCCAGTACCTAAGTTGCCACGCCACAAAAGCTGCATTCAACTCCGCTTGAAGTATGATGTGCTGTGATGTGCTGAATGCTCAGGGAAGTGGCCCCGCCTTACACGAGCGAGACGTAGCGTGGGGCAGCGTTTTCATCCCTGCGAGGTGCGTGCAGCGCGGCGAGTGTCGGGAAGAGTGGTGACACGACGAATGTCTTCGTATGAGCCCGCTAATAGTCGAAAAAGGTTATAAGATCAATCACCCAAAATACGCACCAACCAAACCCATCAAGTTCGACCCCGAGCCACGCACCAAGATCGGACCGCCACCACGCCCCACCACCCCACCCCACCCCTGCTACACCACCAAGCCACGCACAGCCCCCACCATACCCCGACAGGAAGTTTGGCTGCAGAGTTGCAATGTGCAGTCGAGAGCGCACATGTTTGCACCAGGAAAAGCACAACCGAGAGCATGCTTTGTTGCACACCAGGAGAAGCACAGATGGAGAGCACGACATTCTTGCACCCGAAAAGCGCAAGATTTCGAAAGAAAAAGCAGAAGCCTCAACAGAGAACGAAAGGCCCAGGGTTTCCCGTTTAAACTGAGAAGCCCGGCCAGCCCACGGCTGCCAAACTCCCTGGTTCGGAAGCCCACCCCACCTCCACCCGGGCCCCACCCCACCCCCACTCACAAGGAAGAAAAGGCGTCAACAGCCTTCCTACACTTGGGCCCCGCGGTATTGCAGCTTTCAATCGCACTGGATCATCACAGTTGCGACATGTCAGAAGTGCGATCACAAGAAGGCCTAATTTCTTGGCCAATCCCTGGTGTTGTCTTTCGTGGATGTGTCTGTGCGACTATTACTGTAGTGGCGGAGCTCTAAACATGTATGTCCTCCTGCCTTTCCATTCTCACCTGAACCAGGAGCCCAGTGGCCAGGCAGAGGCCGCGCTTTGGGCAATGATCTGGTGGAGTCTTGTTGAGCTGCCATCTGAACTGGCTTGGCATGCCCGAGTGGGACTTCTCGGTGTACATAGTTCGCAAAGCAGCTGCTGAAAGATTCGGAGCTGAACCACTCGCTGTCGAATGACAGCCTTTTTCGGCTACAATCCCGAGTGGCATTCCTGAGTTGTGCGAAGCCGATGAGTCTGGACCTGCTTTTGATTGCATGGTGCAGCGGCCCTATCATTCGATATCACCTTTTGGCGCACATGCCAGGCACTGGAACTGGCCAGGTTCAAAGTGGCTGCTGCCGTTTTGAGGTGGACTTATTGCCAAGTGGACCAGGCGCAGCACTGTCCCGTGGGATCCAGCGCAAGCAGGGCTGTTTCCACAGTAATGTATCAGGAGATCTTTTCAAATTCTTTCGTCAGAGCTCTGAAATCCAACGCCCACGTGGTCCACGACAAAGTCAAGAAAGTCGCTTGACCATGCAGCTTTAGACTAGCCTCTTGATCTCGGACAGATGGTTGGTTGAGCATCCATGCCTCATTCCTGAAAATCCAGAGTCCTAGTTTTGTGCTCGTACATAATTGGCACTTTTGCAGTCCGGCCGTTGGAGATGAAGCAGAAACGCGGCACAGGATCTGAATTGCTTCGACACATCTGGCGTGGAGCCACCCCCTGCGGACCTGTCCTCCCTCCAGGCGGTGCCATTTCGATAACGAGTCTGAGCATTCTGAGCCACAAGCAACCTGGGAAAGTCAAGGACCTTGCGACCTGGCTGGATGAATCCGCAGAGCGTGCGGCCCGCAGACTTGAACGGTGTCGCAGCTAATGACCGTTCTGACTCAACTTTTTCCAGGCTTTGGCAGTGCCGAGCCGTCGGGTGTGGAGGAAGAGACGACGCAACCTGAGAATGAACTACCTCAAGCGGACTCCCTGCCGGAAGAGGACGCTCCTGGTGCATCCGAAGCTGAGTGGGGTTTACGCGGAAAAAGGGTGGCCTGCTTGGGAGGACAGCTCATTGCTGGAGGCTCTGGGAACTACTAGTAGCTTCCGCTTATCCTTCGCCATGGTAAGCCTTTGTTCTCTTGCTTCAGGCATCCGCAAGCCAGATTGTGGAAGCCAGCAGTGAAACTTCCGAGCTCGTTGCAGCCCTCAAAGGCCTTCTGCCACTTGTGACGCATGAGAGCGCATAGATGCCGTGGAAGCATTCCGTTGCGGCTGCGCAGCTGAACGACACGGCCTGGTGTCACGGTGTCGCTGCATTGCAGCCGGCAGCCCAGCGACTGATCCGTCTCTCCCTGTCTCTGTCTGCTTGATTCGCGGTGTTTTGCCAGCTGAAAGCAGGCCTGGACGTATGCCCGGCTAGAGACCATGCACAAGCAACATGAGGAGGCACCGGCAAAACCCGTGCACGGTGCGCTGAGAGAAGATGAAAAGTCTCCGACAGGTCTTTGCTCGAATGGACGATTGGATCAAGGACCGTGTCAAGGAGGAGAACGAAGCAATCAAGGCATGCGGGCGCGCGCGCGCGCGCGCGCCGCGTCTGCTGAGCGCATGTCTTCTCCCATGTGTGGTCTTTCACGTCCTGCAGGCGACTGACACCTTGCTTCGCTCTGGAAGGTGGGAGGACGAGGCTGTTGGATTCGACGGCAAAGTTCAGAATTGTGCTTGTCATGACGTGCACACGCGATGTTGCTGAGTGTGCAACAGGAGCCAGTCTTCATGACAACGAGAAGCATGCGAAGATCCCAGACCACTACGATGAAGGCCATTCCATGCGGCTGCGCAGTCAGGTACCGAAGCTTCGGCCAAGTGGGGCCGTTCCGGTTTCTGCATCTGCATGAGGTCGTAGTTTCAGATAACGACTTGGCAGAGATCGGCACGTAACCGGCCAAGGGGGGCGCAGATCCCACTAATATGTTGAAACCGGGGCAAGGCCTGTCTGTAGGTAATCTGTAGGTGTTGCTGGCTCTTGCTGGGCGGTGTCGTGGCCGAACACTCTCTCTCAGAAAGAACTCTCTGGACATGCCATGACGCCCCTTCCTTGCTCAGCCTGCGCTGACCGGAGCAGCCGGCAAAAGACGCCGAGACGTCCTCAAGGCCGGGGGAACTGCGGAGGAAGGGAGGAAAGGGACTCTGTCTTACACGCACGGACTACACATACACACACTGCGACGCGACGCCGCAGGTCATCGTGGCGAAGACATTGGACGTGGATGTCTACATTCCTCAAAAGCTCGAGGTTCGGCCCTCCGTGTCCGGCCAAGCCAAGCCAAGCCGTGAGCCGATGCGCCAAGGTGTCGGAAGCAGCAGTGCCGGTGCCAACCAGACCCTCAACGTCAAACTCTCAAGGTGAGCAGTGGCAGCCAGGGTTCCCAACCCAGCTCATCTCCTTCCCGGTTGCAGTCGCTGTGGGATCCCGGCCGTCTACCACAAAGCCCTTACGGCCAGCCCAAAGCTCGGGCAACTTGAGAAGGTTGTGTCTAGTGCAAGCATTGCTGCTGAAGTGGTGGGGCTTGTTTCTGTTTTGTTGAAGGGAGGTGGTGACCCAAAATAACTCCTCAAGACGACAACTTCCCAGGTTTTCCCCGAGAAGTGGTCCCAGGACTGCCAGAAGCCTTCTGCATGAGCTGCACGAGTCCCCTTTTTCTGGAGCACGTCAGGACATGCTCTGGGGTCTTCTCACAAGACTGGCAGATCTGAGTGGAGCCGTCTGTTCGGCTGAGCAGCTGCTTCAGGTTCGAGAGCTCTTCCTGTCCTTGGGTGTTCGGAAGCCGCTGCCTCTTTGAAGGCACTGCTCGAGCGCCGCCATTCTGCCTTAGGCTTCAACAACGAGCAGGCGCGCAGCACAAAGCATCCAGCCACACATGGTAGCTCTTGGAAGCCAGGTGATACCCGAGTCGTGGGTCATGCGGCCATTAGTTCCGGCCCTGAACACGCGCCAAGATTGACTTTGATGGCCGTGCCACCTTGCCTCCACTGCTCAGGTGGTCTACAAACTTCTGTGCGACTCGATGGTGGAACCGGTTCGGTGCTCGAAGCGCCTTTAGCAGAGGAGGAGACGTGTGATGAGGGCCGAGGGGGCATTCCCGGCCGTGTGTGCGTGCAAGGCATGGGGCGCCACTGGCGTTGACGTGACAGAGTTCCTCTTGGTGCCTCCCCCCGTGGTTTTCGAAGCGCCCCCCACAAGCAAAACCGTGTTCAGCGCCGCTCGCTGCCGCAGTCGCAGCTTCATATCCTTGAGTCGCCGCACAGACATGGCTCCCCATTTCTCTGCCCAATTCCTTGGTATATAAGTTTGGGTAGCGGTAGCGCCTCATTTAGCCAACATGCCAGCCAGAGCCGTTGCTAGCTGTCTAGGGCTCTCAGTGCGATGGCCCAGCGCAAGGAGGTTTCCTTGGAGGCCCTCCGTGCGGTCTTTCGCTCGCGCTCTCTCTTTCTGTGTCTGCTCTCGCTGTCTGAGGAGGACTTTCAGAGTGCCACCTTCGAGCTCGAGGCCGGCCTGAGCGATGAGGACCGGCTGCGACTCACCCGAGGCCCGAGTCCCGAGGCGAGATCTCCGATTGGGAGCGTTCCTGCTTTCAGGTATGGCGGAAGCTTCCCAGCTCATGAAAGATGGCCTCACCTTTGATGAGGCTGCCTTTGATCGGGGTTTTCTCGCAACCAAGTTGCTGTCATGCCAGGCTCGACTCAAAATAGTGACTCAGCGCATGGCGTCTCCCTGACTTGTGTCGCTGTCACCTCACTGCCGTGTGGCTGTGCTTGTGCTTGCCACCGGCCAGGCAGATGGGGGTAGACTCCTCGGGCATGCCGACCGACCCCAAAGCCTTCACTTTTGAAAAGGCAATGGCTTCTTCATCATGGCTTCCAACCAGTTTCGGGTAGTCATGTTTGCTGATCTTGGTCACATGCCCCACGAAATGGGAGCTTACCTCGTCACGAATGCATGCGCTCGATAATGTCGCAGGTCAGCAATGTAGGAGGCCGCAGTACCGACAGCGGCAGCCACCCTGGCAGCAAGAAAGGCATTGTCTGTTGATTCTGCTGTACACTGAGCGAAAGCCTTCGAATCTCAGGCTCTGCTTCCTGGCGATCGACCGGTGCCAGGCTAGGAATCCGAGCACCGATCGACCGCTTTGAAGTTCGTGGCTTCAGGCGTGGTTTCCAGTCTGTGATGACACCCCCAGCCATCTCGGCATCGGCGTGCCGGTCTCTGTTGGCGATCACGAAACCAGTTTTTCGTCAAGCCCTGCTCCTCCGAGGTCTCGTATGTTTCCAGTGTTCGAGCGTGGCGATGATACTTCCGGTGCGCTGAGCCCGCTTGATGATGTCCTTCGTCTCGCTGTGTTGACACACTTCGCACGGTGTCCGCATCCAGGTGACCGCCGGCCCTTCCTGTCAGGGCGCGCGGTCTTTCGTGACATCAGATGTTATGCAACGCCTTTGTTGACGCCGGAAGGCCGCTGCTCGTGGCCTGCAGAGCTCTGAAGTCACTCAAACCAGTAGTGTGCGGTTCCAAGATTTCAAAGCCGTCTGCGTTGTGCTTCTGGAAGAGCCTCCAAAGCCGAGGCGGAGCGCGCTGCTTTTCCGGGTTCCCTTGCCTGCATGTAACATATATGTGACGTACACGTGACATCACGTGACACGTGGCTCTGCCCAGTTACCCGTCGTGACATCGGATGTGAGGCTGTGCCCCTCATCGTGGCTGCCGCCGTGATCATCTTGCTTCGTCTGCTTCAGATCGGATGGACCAGAGATCCTGGCTTGCCGGCCCTGTGCCTTGGGCTCGTTTGCCGACTATGCTGGACTTCATGGCTGATGTTGCTACATCGACTGCGGACACCAGTGGAGAACTGGGTGCACACTCATCATTTTACAGACCGTGCTTGCAGAGTGAGCAGCACAGCTTGTGGCAGGCTGGTGCAAGAGGATGTTGCAGAGGTTGGAAGCTCAGGGAGGAATGAAGAAGCACGGCACAGCCCAATCAAAGATAATCCAAGTCTTTGTGCTAGGTTGGGAAGGCCTTCGAGGACCCTCGATAACCGACAGCCACGAGGCAACCTCCCCGGAGCGTCTTCAGAACCGCTAGTTTTCTGCCGCCTCTTCTGCACACAGACTAGAAGCCAAAGCCGATGCTACTTGCTGAGAAAAGGTTGCAAACGGAGAAACTTCTCAATGTCAGTTTCCTCAGTCTTCGCAGCCTTTCACCTGCCGGTGCTTTCTTGTTGATGTCACATGCTCAGATTCTCAGCGGTCACCCGTTTCGCTTCCGGTTTAACTAATTTACATGCCTTATGGAAGAAGTTAGAGTGGCGGCTTTTTTTGCAGCAGCTCAGTAGCATTTCGCAGAAAGCACTCGCAGCCGTTGGGCAGGTGCTTCTGCTGGCTGTCCGAGCCGATCAACTGAGTTGCGACTGAGACCACCGTGAATTGCGTAGCGGATCACTGCGGAGATGTGGAAGACCACGACTTCGACTAAGACTAAGAGAACTGGAAAACGAGTTGCATCGAACGACCTACAATTCGTATCAAGCCCGCATGGAAATTTTAAGTCGTGGTGTCCTTAAGTGGAGGGAAGGTGGACTAGTGACCAGTGCTTCAATTTATCATCTACTCATCGCGCTTCCTGATGCAGAGCCCCCCAATCTCGTGTTGTGGTTGCATGTACAGGCTGCAACTGTCCGTTTATCGCAGTATCATGTGCAGAAGCTGCAACTGCAAAAGGAAGTCGCCGGACTCCCCACTATTGCGACAGCACAGTGTGCACTTGCAGTGCTTGCCTGCCCCGACAATGGGATGATCCAGCGAAGGTGTTGTCACATCACGAGAATTCCGTTCCATGGCCCACACCGGAGGCCTCTAGGGAATTGCAGCGAGTCGAAAAACTGCCACGGAGCTCCACACGGGCCAGGCTTTAGAAGAGACGCGCTCCTTCATTCAGTCCGAGGCGGATCCAGCCCAGCGCGCATTCCGCCGCTTCCGCCCTTTCCATTTTGCCTTGTGCAGGAGTCTCCGCTAGATCCGGACGTGTTGTCCTCGTGCCGGCCTCTACCTCGAGCTGGCAGACGGTGTTGAACGCAAGCATGGAGCAGGTACCCCGATGTTCCGATATCGGAGGCGGCTGCTGCGAGAAGTGACGGGGTTTTCGGATGCAGACCCGCATTTCTAAGGAGTTGTTCTGCCAACTTCCTTTGTGGTCGATAGCTCATTCCTTGCTTGCCACTTGTCATTATGAGCCGCAGGGTATGAGTTCCAGGCCAGAGACTTGCCCGCCGGAACTTCGGCGGTGGATCTTCCAGGCTCAGACTCAGCCAGTCGGCCATCTCTATCCATCTCTAAGACTCGCCTGAAAGGTACTGGCTACCTTTGCAGAGGCTTTGGCCTTGCCATCTCATGATGGCCTGTCGGCAGCGGCCTCTGCACGCCGAGGAGCAAGTCCGACTTCCAGCGAAGCCTTCGCGCCGACAACTTGGTGCATCGTCAGACCCGTGCCAGGCATTTGGCGGTTTTGAGCTCAGGTCGACCAGAGGATCCGAGCGAGTTCACGATTACAGCGAGGAGGCACGGCGATGCTGGCCGGAGCGTGCCGGCGAGCGACATAGTGAGTGACCTCTTGGCGAGATTTTGAGCTGAAAGCAATCGCAGGATTTTCGGTTACTTTGGTCTGGGCCACAGCCCTGCAGAAAGCTTCAGCAGGCTTTGCAGGCACAACCCTTAGTTCTCGCCCTACCGGCCCAGTTGCTAAGCTTCGACTAGAATTGCGGCTGACGCAGGCTTCTGCTCCCTCGTGAAGCGCTAGCTGCTGAGGAAGAGCCTGCGCAGGTTTTAGTGAAGGACGCTGCAGGGGCACTTTCATGCAAAATGTGTTTCACAAAGCGGATGATTCGCGCGACAGAGAGCCAACCGCATCGTTCCCTAAGAGCATGTCTTGCGTCATAGCCAGGATCTGTGGATGCTCCTTCACAGCCAGCGCAGTCGACCATCCGGCCTTCTCGTGCTCCCGGCAGTTGTGAAAGGGCTAAGCCTTCACGGTGACCGGCCTTCCATGTTTAAGTCAAACGAAGGCACCAGTTCCCGACTTGGCCACCTTCTGCAACAACCTTCTGGAGGAGGAAGAGAAGAGCCTGCAGGCAGTAAGCGCTCTTGGCACGGTGCAGCCCAATGGAGGCCAAAGCCGAGACGGCCGCAGCCGCCGCCCCAAAAGGGAAGGCGGCACCGAAGCCCAAGGTCCGTGTCGATAGTCATCCCTTGTTTTGCCATGCACTATTCCAATAGCAGGGGAAGGCCAAGCAAGAGGTCGAGGCTGTGGCTTGCAGTGTTTGAGACGTTTCTTCGCATCCAGACAAACTGTCTGTAGGAAGAAGTTGAACCGCCGCCGATCCCTGAAGAAGCCACAGTGGTCCGTGTCTCATGCCGGCCTTGTTGTTGACAGCGTGCAGCAGCTGTTTGGCAAAGGCATTCTCAGAAAAGGTACTTCTGCAACGCAAGACGGCAATGGCCCCGGTGGCGGGGGAACGAGCTTCCAAGCTGATGGCAGAAGAGAAGGAAGCGTGGCTTGAGGTTCTACGTGCCTTCTGCAGTCACGGCGGGCTTCTCTGTCGCCGCCGTGGTCTTGAAGTGCTGTTCCCCACTGCAGGCAAGCGGCAAGCCCCCGTCGGCAAACGTTCTTTGGAAGCGTACCATCCTGAACACCTCTGCAGGTTCCGGCTGGTCACTTGCGACGTCTTCGCAGGCCTGTCATGCCGGCAGTTTCTTCACATCTAGCCGCTAGCCTTAGCATGGGAGTGGCAGAGGTTGCAGTTGCTTCCCTGCATCCAACCCGTCACTGCATCTTCTTCCCAAGAGTGCGGGAGATACTAATCAGAGGAACGAGAGAGGCGAGCACAATGCAACGCACATCGCAGGGAGACAGATGGAGACAAAGCGCGGGAGTTTCGCCAGCTGCATGATCCAGCAGAGAGGAACCACGATTCATTGAAGCTTTCCAAAAGGTGCATCGTCGCACGTGTGACGAAAGAGGCATAATCGAAAGTGCTGGCTCAAACTGCGACCATCAGGGAGGCCCCTGTGTCAACAGATGAGGCCTCCTGGAAGCCCCTGGGACAACCAAAGTGGAAGTCTTGAAATCGTTGCTGGCTGCACAAATGGTTCGGCGTGAGGGTACAGGGGGTCCCCAAAGGGAAGAGTGAGAAGGACTGGGATGGCACACGCAATCTTTGCTACTCTGTAGAACGGGGGGGGGGGGAACGTTGTGAGTCGCTTGCAGGCTGCGGCTCTTCAGGAGCTCCAGTCCTTGGTGCCCGAAGCCACGCCCGAAGAGGACGCCGCCTCAGGCTCAGCCGAGAGCACAGTGATGTGGAGCCTTTTGGAGGAAGCCCCGGCCTGAAAGCGCGGTCTCACCCGAACGTCCCCAAACAGTGCGGCCCAGCTCCGATGAATTTGTGAAGTTGAAACTTCCGGCACAAATTGCGACTTTCCCCACAGAGAAGTATCTTTAGTTGGCAGATGCGGCTTCCTGTCCATGGTTTCACACCCGCTCTTGGAGAATCACCACAAGGTGCTCCAGAAATGCAGCGTGGAAAAGGCGACTCTGGAAGTTGCAGCCGTCTTGGTACGTTTGGAATCGTTTGGACAAGATGGCAAGAGGCGGGATGGTGAACTGCCCTTGCCTCTCCTGAGCCACTGGCTCCCATGATCCCCAACATCTCCGTCACCTTTGCCGCTGCAGTGCCGTGGGCCCGGCTTTGCGGTGCTCCCGAAGTGAGACTCGGGGGGCCCGGGCCTCTCCCGGTCCCCTTAGGCGTGCAGCGCCGTGCGTGGCACCGGGCTCCAGCTTGAGAGCTGGGCTCCGAGGCGGCGCGCTTCGCACCACTGGCAGAAGTTTCTCCTTTGACCTGACAGGCAGACTTGGCGTCGGCAGCGGGAGCGCGATGCTTGGGATGATTCGGGTTTCTGCCGAGACAGAGCCACGTAGTAGTTTCTGCCGTTTCTGCTCAGGATGTGCGGCCAAAGCTGTCGCCGCCGTCTTCCACGAAGTCGGCAAGCCTATGGAGCTGCGAGAGGCAAGAAATGGCAAGAAGTTCCTCCGCCAGGAGATCGCAAGAGCCTCTCCCTGTCAGATCCCTCTTCCAGAACGGCTAAATGAAGGCGAACTTCTCGTTCGAATGGAGGCAGCAGAGCGCCGAGAGAGGTTTCAAGACAGGCACTCCAGCTTGAGCTATCAGGTGGCCACAATTTGTGGTAGTGATCTGCACACTGCCTTTCTCTCAGTGACTGTAATGTAGTCCATGGATACATGAAAATGACTAAATGGTCTATGGAAGATCATGGAAGCAAGGTCAGTGGCAAGAGACAGGAGCCGATGCCGTTGGTCCTTGGGCACGAAGGCGATGTTCCGGCGTGCTTTAGACACCTTTCGCAATCTGGTTTCTTCAGGTGTCGGGGTCATTGAAAGGATCGGCAGCGACATTTTCAGCGGAAATCGTCCCAGGCCGGTCCGTCTGCGAATTCTGCGTAGTGCAATGTGACGTTGATGCACTTTCTGGTCAGGCACCGTGGCTGGAAACTCCAGGAGGGCGATAGGATTACATTCAGTGTCGCAGACTCTTGCGGCATGTGTCCGGAATGCACGCTCCACAAGTCTGGTGCTCGGCCGTTAAGGAAGCAATACGTCACGAATAAACTTTTTGCTGAATGAGGTTGCCGCAGAAGTGCGTGTCGCTGATGAAGTCCGGCTGCCAGGCTCTTCGACAAAGCCTGGTTCTGCTTGACCCGCTTTGCCAGGTATGGGCACGCTCGCATGTCGGAAGGAACTGGCCTCAACGGCACGTGACCCGTTGACTTGTCGAGGTCATGCAATCAAGGGATAGTTTCCGTTAGTCGCTACGAGGTACGCGACGCATGTTCTGCTTCGCCCGGGGACAGTTTCAGCTTCGCTGCAAGATCCTGTCAACTGGGTAGAGTGGATTTAAAAAGATTGAAACTGTCCCCCAGCCGAAAGGACCCATGCTGTGAAGCTTCCTAGCACGCTCAGCTCGCGTGCTTGCAGCTTGGATACTTCTGCATGGACCGTCAATGCAGTTTATCAGTTCGTCATGTGGCGGGGCCTATCACTGAGGTCTGTGCCCCGGCAAACTGTGCTCTCGCCACTGTCTCACACCTACACAACGGCACCTGCTGTCCCAGAAGTGGGTCATGTGGCTTGCAGTTGCTGTCATCGCAGCCACTCTGCAGGTGCACCACGAACAATGTAAAATTCTGCTCTGCGCCCATCAGGTTGTCAACGCATTGGACATGGCGAGGCTTCCCAGGCCACAGCGAACTATTGATTGTTGGGGATGCTGTCTTTTTGAACACAAGCTGCATCCACCTGTCTTGATTGCCGTGACAAGGTACGGCTCCAACAAGAGCGCTGTAGTGCAAGGATGCTGCTGCTGTCCTGCTGGTCAGAAGATTGTGAAGCCATGGCCGCCAGCAGGAGTGGGGCTTCTTGGCATCTACGCCGTTGCCTGGTTGAAGAAGCGCGTGGGCATGGACAGGCGCATGCTAGCAGCTGGCCGTGGTTGAGTTGGAAGTTAAAAGCATACAGCCTGGGAGAGTGGAAGACAGCGGCAGACGACCGACGACCGCAGCCAAACTCTCGAACAGTTGAGAAAGCTTGAACCGAGGTCTTCAGGCCTGCACAAGCTAGCAAAATATGTGGCTGCGCTTGAAGGAAAGACACGGAACCAAGCCCTGCGTTTTCTACCCCATGCCAAGCCACAAAAACAAACGCTGGATCCTTTTTCAGACGCACCAGGCCCAGTCCAGGAAAGCCTCGGAAGTATGATAGGTAGGGTGTCATGTCGGTAAGTGGGAAAGGAAGCTGAGGGGTTATGCTCATGATACTAATGTTTGTATGCGGAAGGGCCAGAAGCAATGCCTCAGAGTGTTGCTAGTTGTCTTCTTCTCGTGGCACCTCCATGCATGCGTCGCTCTGAAGTGAAGTGTTCCATGTAGGCAGCACAGTACCGAATGCTTTGTGTCTACACACAGTTCTGGAGTGTCGGTGAACTGATGTGTTCATGAGTCCACTTGAAGCCCGTTCTTCAACGGTCGGCTGTTCAGTGTCTTCTGCCTGGACATGGACTCGGAGCGCCTGAAGACGGCCGAGCAGTTTGATTCTCAGCTGAGACATGCTGATTGATCTGCACGGTTTCCAGTGCAGGTTCGGAGGCATCCCGCTACTAGTTACAGGTGGGGAGGAGGCAGGTGGAAAGCAGTTTTGGCCTCCCCCATCCACATTCGCCTGAGCCATCGGACGCCCGGCAGGAATTCTGGGAGCGGCAGCGCTTCATACACAAGCACTACCCACACGGAGTGGATGTTGCTGTTGAGATGACCGGAGCCAAAAATGTGATCCACGAGGCTTTTGTACTGTGTTGACTGAGAAGACTTGTAATTGTAAGTTTCTGCCAGCTGCGAGATGCTTGATTGGTGTGGTGATGCCCCAGGGCGTGCAACTTCTACGCAATGGCGGGCACTATTCCTTTGCAGGTATGGTCAGCTTGCTCAGCTTGCTGTACACGTGCAAAACGAGCTTGGGCGTCGCACCGCTGCTGAAGGTACATCCTGATTCGCAGCTTTCCTCACTCACTGGAGAGACCATCATCAGGAAGGTGTCGAGATTTCAACCTTGAGTGTTTTTTGCGCGTGATGCTTGCCAGTGACTGCCAGTGCCTCACAATCCGCGGGGTGCACAACTACACCCCATGGAACCTCGAGGAAGCGGCCGGCGACCCGGGCACCCGGCCACGAGTTTGCGAGTAGGGCCACGCGAACGAGAGCCAGGTGAAGTTCTTAGACGAGCAGCGCGAGGACAACCTCTGATTATCAAGAATCGCTACCTCAGAAGTTGCGGATGTCGTAGGAGCTTCCGCTGGAATCCGTTCTCTCGCCCTCCAGTCGTGTCCCCAATCTTCGCGCGCGATCAAGATGCTGAGACGTTTCATCTGCTTGGGTGAGGCTACGCCTTGTCGAACATAAACGATGCCATTGCAGAGGCTGAAAGCTTTCCCAAGCTTCGAGCTAACGTAGCATGTTTCTCGCCTGTTGCGAGCTGCGAGGCGTTCTCCGGCAGATACTGCCGTGTGGTGGTCTTGCCAACATGGTTTAACGGACGATGGCACAGCCTAACTGTTGGCTGGGACATAGCAGTAGCAGCTGACAGCAGGCCCAGACTGTGTGCCAGGTGAATTGCCAAGATGTGTTTTGAAGTGAAAGGAAAAGGTTTCACATTCGGTGCCCTTCTGACACCGCAGGATAACGAGTCCCGACAGTCTTGCATCACGGCTATAGTCGCGACAGCCTGTTCTGCCGTGAACCACTTGTACATACTCGCGGCCAAAGAAGACTCCCTGAAGTCGATAGCTGCGCAGTCCGTGCGGACAGTGGGTGTGGGCATCTGCCGAACTGGCTTCCGTCGCGATTAAGTGGAAGAAAGGGAAGAAAGCTGCTGCTTGGCGACTCAGTGGTCCGACGCCGGGTTGGCAACATGATGATTAATATGTATCGGATCAACAAGCAACGAAGGTCGAAGCGTTCTGGCCAATCATGGACAGTTGTGATTTGCAGTTCAAGATTTCAAGATGTATCAAGCACACACTCACACCCTTTTATATTGGATTCTGGAATGTGGTCGTGGCAGGCCTGGTAAGTGTTTGGGAAGTTCCGCCATGTAGTGGCGGCATGGAAAGGCGGCCTAGCGCAAGCTGCGCAAATGAGCCATGGCTT